GCCCCGTCGGCCCGCTGCACGGCGTGCCGACGAGCCTCAAGGCGCACATGCCGCTGGCGCAGCACGCCGTCGACGTCGGCACGCTCGACTCGCAGCGCGTCGTGCAAGGCGACTGCCCGGCCGTCGCCGTGCTGCGCGCCGCCGGCGCCGTCTTCTACTGCAAGACGAACCAGCCGCAGTTTGTCATGCACCTCGAGTCGGCCTCGTTCCACGGCCGCACGCTCAACCCGCACAACACGGCGCTGACCGCCGGCGGGTCCAGCGGCGGCGAGGCCGCGCTGCTCGCCATGCGCGGCTCCGTGTTTGGCGTCGGCAGCGATATTGGCGGCAGCATCCGCGCGCCGGCCGCGTTTTGCGGCGTGTATGGCTTCAAGCCCACCAGCAATGTGCTGCCCCGCCGCGACGGCCTGCCCGGCGCCGGCTCGCCCGCGGAGATGACGGTGCCGGCCACGTGGGGCCCCATGTCGCGGTCGCTGCGCGACATGGATCTGTTTATGGGCGTGTTTGCGGCGGCGCGGCCGTGGCGCGAGGATCCGCGGCTGAGCATTGCGCCGTGGACGGGCCTCACGACGGCGGCCGGCGGCGGTCCGCTCAAGGTCGGCTTCATGATGACGGACGGCGCCATCCAGCCGCAGCCGCCCGTGGCCAGGGCCATGGAATGGGCCAGGACGCAGCTGCAGGGCGCCGCGGGGGGGGTCGAGGTGAAGGCGTTTGCGCCGCTGCGCACGCAAGAGGCGACGAGGAACGCGCGCATCGCGTACTTCCCGTACGGCGTGGACGAGATGCGCGCGAGCCTGGCGGCGTCGGGGGAGCCGTTCCAAGCCCTGTCCGACTACAGCGTGCAGGACGCCGAGGCGTCGCCGACGCCGACGGCGCAGGGCCTGTTTGCGCTGAGCCGGACAAAGGAGCAGTTTTGGTACGACTGGGCGGCGCACTGGGCGGCGCAGGACGTGGACGTGCTCGTGTGCCCGGCGTTTTACGGCGCCGCGCCGCGGCACGAGACGGCGTTTTACTGGAACTACACGGCGCTGTTCAACTACCTGGACATGCCGGCGGCGGTGCTCCCGACGCCCGTGGTGGCGGGACCAAAGGGCACGGAGCGGTATGCGGAGGGGGAGCCGCTGAGTGACGAGTGTGAGCACGCGCGCCGGCTCTGGGACGAGGGAGACTTTGAGGGTGCGCCGATTTGCATACAGGTGGTGGCGCCGAGACAGCGCGATAATGAATTGTTTGGGGCGTTAGAGCGGCTTAGCAACTATTTAAACGTAGAGTAGTCAAGAAACCATGTTAGATAGGGAGAAGTATTTAAACGTACGTACAGCAGTCAATACATCATGTTACATAGTGGGAAGATATACTTGTACATATATATTAGGACTAGTCCATCTTATTATGTTTCAAGCCGTCAAGAAGCAACATGGCCACTATATTAGTATTTTAGTAGTGGGAGAACATCCGCAGAGTTATACGCCAACAATGTCAAAAACCGCACATCTATCGAGCCATCTGCGCCTCGAAAGCCCGTATGGAAGCGCTGCACTTTTGTGAGGCGGACATCGACGTCCCAAGTTCTAAAGTTGACAAGTCCTTGTACAATGCGGACATCTCGGTCCCAGAAGGAGATGGCAGTAACCTATCATAGATTAGCCGCTGCTAGGTTATATCAGTGGGTTTATATAGAACTTACACCAAAGCTATCTAGATGGTTATACTCGGGTTTTACGTGGTTATAGACGGCAATGAGTATAATCGTCTTAAGCTCGCTTGTTCGGAGAGAGCCGTCTTCTAGAAAAGGCGTGGAATCGACGACGTAGCACATTGCATGTGGCTTCTCTGGATCAGCGGCTCGCGGCTCGCAATCGCTGCTTTTCATTTTGAAGTTGTGATAGACAAAGTTCGGACGCCATATATAATCATCGGTCGCCGGTACTCCGAGCCATCGTGCCGCGGGCGCATCGCTGGCCGAAGGAATGAATTAGCATGGATTTGATAGTAAAGCGTCATTTGGTTTCATCGAACCTGTGCTCATTCCAAGAGGTCTGCCCAAGTAAAGACGCCTTGAATGTTTGGTACATGCTGTTTGTTGCCCAGACATTCAGAATAGTGGCGAATTCTTGAGCGGTACGATGGTAGTTGCGGGGGTGCGGATTATCGGTGATGTAGCGCTCCGGTAGAAAGTTGTCAAAGCACGTGAGGCCATCGTATCCAATCCAGGGTTGTACTTTGCGAGTAAAGGTCTCTATCTCACGCGTACACGAGAGGTTCAACAGCTTACGGCAACGGGAATCGACCTTGCCGGTCTCAAAGTCCATAGGGGTGAGGGTTACCCTAAACTTGGTGAGCCCGTCGGCGGTGATACGAGCTTCCTTGAACTTATTGAGCGGCCCGACCACGTTTTGTATAAAGTTAGTAGGTATGGTGGGTGGGCGCGGCCGTGGTTTGGGACATTGGAATTGATGCAGGACTGATGAGCTTGAGAAGTCTGGCCGGGGCGGCTTTTGAGAGCGTTGTTCCCGGAGTTGTATCATCGGACAGAACGGGGCCATGGTTGGGTTCGTAGCCGGATCGAATCTGGCCGATAATAGTTTGAACTTCTGGTTGGGACCGCCAAAGGGAAGCGAGGCGGAGAGTTATGTCCTGATGGGCTGTTGTTTGCTGGATGCTGAGATACGAGAGCGTGTGTGTTTGTTTGTTGATTGGCGATGCTGGTGGAGTGACCGCTGACCGCTGACAGTCCGCTGTAAGCACCTGGCTGCATTTTGCAATGGCTCTGGGAGAGACATGGCCCGACTAGTTGGATGTACCTTTGCAGAAATAATATATACGTAAAATCAGGAAATCAATGAATTTTCTTTGGATTTTTTTTGGAAAGTAAGACCTTTTGCTGGTATCAAGTAAGGGCCACAGGAAGACCCCTTGAGTGCACCAGTCAACGGAGTACTAGAGTGACAAGTAACTAGGTCACGATAGAGTTGCTCAATGGCGTGGCGCAACATTGACTTGGTGATTTTTGTAAAAAAAATTTACTATCTAAGACGGAGCATTGTGGCACGATGTGACGATTCGTATACCGTTATAGGCGGATTCAAGACGCGCTGGCCTAACATGTTGCCCTTAGTAAGGAGGAATTAGGTCTGCTCTTTTTTGCTAAAGACTCAGCAGTCACCCCCGAAATTCCCCACGACGGGCAGTCTTTTCATTCGCTCCGAAATCCTTGTCGTTATCATCCGACTCCTATCATCCTGTGGAGCAGCCATCTCCAATTCTAGCCCCCGACAAGGACCAGCCAGCCATTCCTCTGTCGCAAGCAGCCCCTCAGCCCTTTTCAGGCACTGGAGAACGTGCTTGTCTGAAGAGATAACACATATCCAAGCTAGCGACGCCATTTGACCTACCGTACGCCCGGCGCACAGAAGGATCTCTTGATTGCCCTTGATAGTCCAACGGAAACCTCGGTAGGCTTTCCGAGCCCGCCTACAGCTACTCCGTACAAGATGAGATGCCGAAAACGTGGCGCTGTGTGGCGCTTCCACTATTGCCCAAATCAAATCAAATCGTCCATCGACAAGCCTCTCCACCCCCACGAAATCACATCTCAGCAAAAGAGGGGAACGGGAGCCGCGCCCCTCTCCTGCGGTTACAGCGCCCCGGCCACGGAGCCACGAGGAGCGGAATATCGGCGGATTTGACTGGCTAGTTGGTGGTCAATAAGCTTATTACAACTCTCTCCTCTATTAAATTCCTTATTAGTGGGGCTGTTAGTGCCCCACGCAAGACATCACCTTACAACTAATAAACGCTAAAACCCCCCTTTTTTCACACACCTATATAGCCGATTAGCTATATAGGCCAACGCCATAGGCACGCCGCCAGTCCTAAGACCAATAGAGCCTATACCCTCTTAGACAACCGAACATTCAACCCTCTAGCTAAGCTAAAAAGACCTTAATTCCCTATAAAAAGATTAAGGCTTAACCTCTAATAAGAGGGTATAATCTAAAGATAACCCTAAAGGAAGTAAAGCTTAAAATAATAAAAATAATAGCTAACCTATAGTAGACCTTATCTCTATTAACCCTACTACCTACTTTACTATACTAATTAAAGCTACCTTTAACTAGGCCTTCTATATATAATAGTCCCTCTTTAAAGTAAGTAAAATTCTTATAGCTACCCTAGATACTACTCTAGGCTAGTTTAATAAGCTAAAAGATATTAAAGTAGTATAATAATACTAGGATATTATTAGAACCACTATTAAGAAAGCTATTAACCTAAAGAATAATAAACCTATACCTTCTATAGGTTAGGTCTAAGCCTAGAATCCCCTAGTATCTTATAGAGATACTACTACTAGAGGAGCCTTAGAATTACCTAGAAATAGCTAAGGCTATAGCTATAAATAATAGTAGTAATAATACTAATACTAACCTTAATAGTAACCTAGAGGCCTAGTAGATAATATTCTATAAGCTAGAAAGGGATAGACTAATATATAAAGTAGACTTCTAGGACCTTATTAGCTAGATAAGTAAATCCTTATCTAAATCCCTAATAATACTAAATTAAGAAGTATTAACCTTTATTATATCTATTAGAAGATTATAGAAGTATATTAAATTAAGATTAAAAGTATTAGCTAAATATCTTAAATTCCTTCTAAAATCACTATTACCCCTAAAGACTAATAAGTTAATATAGCTATATTTAATTATAATACTTAGCTATCTTAACTACTTAATATAATATATATTAAGAAATCTAAATTTTAGACTATATATATACTCTATAATATCCTAAGCTTAGTTATAGACTAAACTAGCGCCCTTATTAACACCTCCCTCCTTATTAAGGATACGATTAAGACTACTATAGGAATCACCCTAAAGCTCTAGTGTACTACCTAGGCATTAGAGGGGTAGGATTACTAGATAATTATTATTAAATTCGCCTTAAAGGTATTACCCTTCTAAATCTTTAATAGTAAACTAGTAAGGCTATTAAAGCCCCTTATCTAACCTAACCTCTATAAAATATACTAGTAATAATATAGCCTTAAAGTATATTATATATATAAAATCTACTTAAACTATAATAAAGCTAGTTATAAAAGCCCCTAGTATAATATAAGCCTATAATATATAAACTACTATAGCCCTTACTTAGTAAATAATAACTCCTACCTAGCTAGACTTAAAATTAATAAAGGTAGGAAACTTAAAAAACTAATAAAAAATTAGCTTAAGAACCTTAGATAATAGGGCACTATAATATATAAGGTAGTACTCTTTTATAACTTAATCTAATCCTAGCTAGCCCTATAAGCCTAAATATAAACTTAAATAATATAACCCTTAAAAGTAATAAACTTAGATAATACTATACCTATTAATAAGGTAGACTATAACGTAGGTAATAACCCTATAGAATAAGCTATAAAGACTACTACCCCTAGGGAGCTAGTATAGTATATAGGAAATAGAGAAGGAGATAGTATAGGTTACCTAGCTAATAAGACCTTAATAAGTAAGGAAGGCCTTTTAACTAACTAGGATATTAAGATATTAATAGAATTAGAAAAACCCTCTCTACCCCCTATAGCTACCTAAAAGAGTAAGTATAGCTAATTAGCTATAATAAAAGTATTAAAATCTTTAATATAATAGGATAACACTTAACTATATTCTAAGTTAATATTATAAAAGCTACTAGTATATATAACTATATATTAGCCTTAGCTAAGGAAGTTAGTACTAATATAATCCTCTTATAAGAACCTTAGTTCTCTATAAGGTATAAGACTATAATATACTAAGATTATATCTATATTACCCCTATTTAATAATAATTATATAAAGATAGTATTAACTACTAGCTAAGAGTCCTAATATATATCTTATAACTACTATACTAACTAAAGGTATAGTAAATAATAAATACTCTATACTAAGATATAGTAAGTATAATTACTATAAGATACTATTTCCTAAATATATACTAAGATAATAATAAGCTATATATAATAAAGGCTTTATAAAGGTAGAAGCCCTTAGAGAAGTTACTAATAGCTAAGGACTTTAATACTTATTATTATAAATAGTAACTAGGTATTATAATAAGCTAAGGTATAGTAAATCTAATAAACTAGTTCTTTAATAATAGCCTATAAGTACTAAACTTAAATAGTATCTTAATATATAAGGTAAGGAATATCTTAAACCTTATAGTATTAAATATTACCCTTATAAGTATAAATATAATACTATAGCTATATACTTTATTAGATTATAAAACTTTAATAATAATAATACTAGGTATAAGCTTCCTAAAAAAGCTAGTTAGATAACTATAGCTAGAAAAAGAATAGGTATTAAAGTTTATTAAATATATAAAAGAATATAGGTAGCTAATCTATAAGGATAACTATAATATAATAAAGGGGCTAGAAGAGCTAGCCTTAGATCTAGTAATAGTACTAGATATAGTGCTTTAGTTATATAGAAAGATACTATTACTAGTAAGGAAAGGAGTATTATAGTAGAATAAAGAATATAGGTAATCCTAGTAGAGGATGGTAAGAGAGGTAAAAAGGGCGACTATAGATATTAAGGGGTTAATTAAGGAGTTTTAAAAAATAATAAGAAGGGTAAAGGTAACCTTTAATAGGAAGCTAGTAGATAATATTAACTTAGATAAGGCGCTATATAGGGTAATAAACTAGTACTAGATAACGCTATAGTACTAGGCACTACTAATTAAATATAAAGGAAGAATATACTCTAAGCTAGATAAAAAGGTAGAGTATTTAAAGAAGGCACTATTAAAAAGATAAATATAGGATAATAATATCCTAATAGATATACTAATAGTCCTAAACAAGCTAATACTATAGATAATAGAAGTAATAGTAAATAAGATATATAACGCTTTTATCTTAATAAAGAATATATCCCTAGGGATAGATAGGATTATAGTAAAGTTACTCTAGGTAGTATGGTTAGTCTTTTAAGAGCTAATAGTAAAACTCTTCTAAGGATACCTAATAGTAGGATATTACCTAAGGATCTTCTAATAAGCTAATATAGTTATAATACTAAAACTAGATAGAGATAATAAGGTAGTAAAAAGATAATAACTAATCTCTTTACTTTTATACCTTAAAAAAGGCATTAAATGCCTCCTAGTAAGATAAATAGCCTAGACTTACCTTTAATATAATATTCTACCTCCTAATATAATAAGCACTCTCCTAAAATAGTCTTCTATAGATATAGTAAAAGTACTAATTTATAATATTAAACTTACTTTAATAGCTTATAAAGATATAATCTTTATAATATATAATATATAAAGGGCTTTTAATATAATATAAATTATATACTTACTACTTATTATAACCTAATAAGGATAGTACTAGAGTATTATTAACTAGATAAGGTCTTTCCTCTTAGAAAGATAAGTTAGAATATAGATTAGTAACTATTAAAGCGACTTCTCTAGACTAACCTATAGGCTACCCTAGGGCTCCCCTATCTTACTAATTCTATTCCTCCTTAGTATAAGACACCTCTATAAAGGGGCTTAGTAATATAGCTATATAGATAATAGTAGGTTATTTATTATAAGGTATAACTAGGTGGACCTTATTAGAAGGGCCTAGCTTCTACTTAACTAGATAATAATAATAGTAAGGAATAATAGGATAACCCTTAACCTAATAAAAATAGAAGTAATCTTCTTTACCTATAAAAGAGAATAATAGATAAATACCCTATACTATAAGGACTATAAGATAAAGGTTAAAATAGAAATAAAGTAGCTAGGTATCTACCTTAACTCTTTACTTAGTTTTAAGACTTATATTAAAGACTAGACTACTAAGGCTAGAACCCTTATATAGTATATTAAAGGACTTAGTTAAGTACTAAGGGGTATTATACCTATTTTTATTAGATAAGCTATCTACTTAATAGTAATCTTAAAACTCTTATTTAGATTAGAGTTATAGTATATAGGTAACTTAAAGCCCTTATATAAGAAGAATTAGGATAGGACCTTTAACCCTATTTAAACTAGGCTACTAGAGTAACTTAATAAGATATAAAAGTGCTTAACTATAGTACTAAGAGGATATATACTAGTATAGTAGACTATACTAGTAGCTACTATTTAGTAAAAAGCTAGTATTCCCCTAATTTATCTACTTCTTAATAGGTTAAGAGATAGATATATACTATAGCTTAGAACGCTTAATAAGAAATACCCTATAGTCTATAAGATTAAGGGCTTTAAAAAGAGAAACTAGGTATTAGGCCTATATAAGTAATAAAGACTAATAGTAGTAGTAATAGCTTATAAAAGCATTCTAGCCTTTAAGAGACTACCCCTCTAGCCTTTAGTCTACCTACCTAGGGAGATCCGCCTAGATAAAGCTAAAAAGACTAAAGTTTTCTAATAATAGCTTAAGACTAGAATAAACCACTATCTTATAGTCTTTTTAGATAGATTAATAGATAAGAATAGTAAAGTAAGGATAGGCTATACCCTCTTTTAAGAAGAAACCTATATATACTAAGGTAAGAGACTAATACCCCTTAGTAAGGTCTTTAATATAGAAGTAAAAGGAGTATAGTATAGACTCTACGCCGCTATATAATATCTTATATTATAGATTAAAGAAATAATAATCTACCTTAATAATATAGTAGTAATAATAGGCCTATAAGGTAGTGTTTTAGTATCTTTATATAGCTTAATAGCGGAATTCTAAAGGCTTACCTAGTCCTCTAATACCTATATTAATATCTACTAGGTATTAAGATACTAAAGAATATTAAGTAATAAGCTTATTAACTAACTTATAAAAGAAGGCTTAGCTATAAGGCCTTTAACTAATAAATAAATCCTAATATAAAGCTATATAAAGAAGACCCTTACCTATAAAGCTACTAAGTAACTTAATAAGTAATAACACCTTAACTAGCCTAATAGATATTACCCTCTTAAGCTCTTAATAAGAGACTATCTAAACCTAGAGCTTAAAATACTAATATGCCTAGAGCTCTACTACCTCTTTATAGCCTAGACTAGCTATAAAGACTTTATATTATATTATAAATAATTCTATTATACTAATACTATACTTATATATAGCTATAGTAGATAAAAAACCCTAAGATATATTTTCTTTTATAAGAAGATATAGGGGAAGAGGGTAGTACCTCCCTAGTTTAGCTAATATTAGTATATTAATAATACTATAAGTACTAGATAGCTTAAGTATATAAGACTAGCCTAGGAGAGCTTGTTTTTTAGCAAGATCTACCTAAGGATAGACCTAGTGTATAGGCCCTAACCTCTATCCCCTATGTCTATGTTTTTTAGAGGCCCCTAAGTGGCCTCCTTATCTTTAAAAAACCCTATAATAAACTAGTGAAAGCCACATAAGACCTATTAGAAGGGCTGATATTTAGAGATTTATAAAATACAGTTTATTTAGTTTAGGGTCCCCGTAGGCGTTATTTGCCCTTTTTAGGGATGTCACGACGATAAATAGTAATACCAATACTAATACCAATCAATAAGCTTATTAGTGCTTGCGGTCAGAAGCAATGTAGGCCCCTTGGCGGGATGGACGTGGGAATCTTAATCAACAACGAGCATGAAACGAGGGGTAAACCAAGGGCTAGCGCTGGATTGAAGACGACACATTGTCTAGCTTGAACTGCATTGCTGCACTATTTAATGCCCCTCGAGGGCCTCGTCGCCCTTTTCGGTCCCGTCTCATCTATCGCAGTTGGACCGTCCTTCACGTCCCTCATCTCCAACTTGTCTCATAAACCCAAGCCCAAGGCCCTTGCCTAGGTAGCATCGGGGACTTTTTTTTTTCCGCGACCAGTGCACTTTTGCCCGCCATTCACCGCTAATAACCGGAGGATAAGAAGCCCCATTACGAAAACACAAGCAGTTCATTGCGCCGTTCAGCCTGGTGTTCCCAATCTCAACCCTCAATCTCCTCCTCCTCCGCAAAATGGGCCATCACTCAGGTACCGCGGAAGCCACCGCCGACATGGACGTGTCCCAGGTCCCCGGCACCGTGCACCTGGTCGATCTGGAGCAGACGGCGGCCACGCGGCACGCGAGCGGCGGCGGCAGCAGCCGCGACATCATCCTGGTGCCGACGCCGTCGGCGGATCCCAACGACCCCCTCAACTGGTCGCCCGGCCGGAAGCGGCTCCATCTCGTGTGTCTCATGATGTAAGTTTGCCACCAGAGAAAAACAAAATCTGGACGGCCGGGGGTGCTCATCTCGTCGGTAGCTTCGTCCTGTTCAGTGGCATGTCCCTCTCCGCCGTGTACTCGGTCTTGGTGCCTCTGTCGGGCGCTCTCGGCGTCACTGGTATGTTGCACACTGGCACGTTTCGCTTCAAAAAGTCCATCTTTACCGACAACACCGCAATAGTCGCCGATCTCAACGCCGGCACCGGCTACATGTTTCTGCTGCTGGGGTGGTCGCTGCTGTTCTGGCAGCCCTTTGCGCTGCAATACGGCAAGCGCTTCGTCTACATCATCTCCATGCTCGGCATGGTGGTACGTTGTTGCCTGCCTGCCATCCCATCTTGCCCCCCCCCTCAGAAAGAAAAAAAACACCATCCCGACTAACCCGAACCCCCAGGCCGTCTCGTTCTGGAGCCCGCACGCGCGCGGCGGCGGCCAGTGGATCGCGCGCAACATCGTCATGGGCTTCCTCGCGTCCCCCATCGAGTCGCTGCCCGAGACGTCCATCACCGACATCTACTTTGCGCACGAGCGCGGCACGTACATGGGCTGGTACGCGCTCATGCTCGCCGGCTCCAACTACCTCGCGCCCGTGCTGTGCGGCTTCATCAGCGACGGCCTCGGCTTCCGCTGGCCGTTTTACGTCATGGGCGTCCTGTGCGCCGCCAGCGCCGTCTTCCTGCTGCTCTTCCTCGAGGAGACCAACTACGCCCGCGCCAGCGTCGGCGTCGTCTACGCCGCGCCCGCCAAGGACGACGACGGCGGCGGCGGCGGCGTGGCCCCGTACGCGGATACTGTGAGCGCCGCCGAGACAGACGCCGCTTCCTCCGCCCAGTACCCCCCCGTCAAGACCTGGGCGCAGAAGCTGCCGCTCTTTCGCACCGGCGAGCCGCAGCCGTTCATCATGCACTGGCGCGCGTGGCAGAGCCTGCGGTACCTCTCGTGGCCGACCGTCTTCTACGCCGGCTTCGCGTACGGCACCTACCTCATCTGGTTCAACATCTTCAACGCCACCGCGTCCATCATCCTCGGCGGCGCGCCGTACCATTTCCGCCCCAGCATCGTCGGCCTCTCGTACCTCTCGTGCCTCGTCGGCGTCGTGCTCGGCGCCACCTACACCGGCCTCTTCTCCGACTGGTTCGTCATCCGCATGGCCCGCCGCAACCGCGGCGTCTACGAGCCCGAGCAGCGCCTGTGGCTGTTTACCGCCTCCGCCATTCTCACCCCCGTTGGTCTAATCCTCTGGGGTGTCGGGGTATGCTATCCTTTCCCCAGCCCGCTACATCTGCCTTGCCACTAACACAATCTCCTCCTCCCAAGGCCGCGCACGGTATTCACTGGTTCGGGCTCATCGTCGCCATGGCCATTCTCTCCTTTTGCAGCTGCGTCGGCATCACCCTCTCCATTGCGTACCTCGTCGACTCGTTTCGCGAAATCTCGGGCGACGCCCTCGTCACCATGATCCTCGTCCGCAACACCATGAGCTTTGCCATTTCCTACGCCATCACGCCCTGGCTCGACGGCCTCGGCCTGCAAAACTGCTTCATCAGTGTCGCTTTTGTCGCCCTTGCCATCTGTAGCATATATCTGCCCGTCATCAAGTACGGCAAACCGCTGCGGGCGGCCAAGCGGGAGCTGTACTGGGAAGAGGTCAAGATGCGCATCGCCTCCAATGCGTATTAGTGCAGCAAGCGTGAGAAATGCGTGTGTATTAAACTGTGTATTGGTGGGAAATATGCGTCTTATAGTCGATATCAAATAATGACTCCTCTGACCATATCTATATCCCAAAGTATTTCTCCCGTCCAGACAAACGCCAAATCCGGCCGTATCCCAAAGCAGAATGAGTAAAACAGGGAGCTCTTCATCAGAGACTGCAAATGCCCCAAAAATCAGTCGTCATGTAAGCCGTACTCTTCGTCCAAGTCGGGGTTGTCGTCATCTTCAGCAAAGCCCTCATAGCCGCCTTGGTGGCCAGCAGCATCCTCGTCCTGCGCGTCATCCTCGCCCGCGTCGCTCTCGTCGGGTGCCTCGTCATCGTCGCCGCCGAGGGTGCTACCCGCCAGGCTCGTCTTACGACTCGTAGCCGCCGATCCAAGACCACCGACATCGGGCACGTCAAAGATGTTGCGGATGGCATCGTAGTTGATGCGCTTCGACCAGGCGCGATCCTTGGCCACGCTCACGGCTGCTTCTGCCGCTGAGCTGGCCGGGCTCGTCTGGCCCTCGCCGATGCGTGCACGCTTTCTGCGACGACGCGTTTGCTTGGGCCGCTCGGCTTCCACTTTGCGGCGGAATAGTTTTTCTTGGTGCTGGCGCAGCCACTCCTTGTTCTGATTGACCCAAATCATTTCTTTGATCTGAGCTTCTTCGGCGGAGAGCAGGCAGTTGCGTACCTCGGGATCGTTGGCAAACTCGTCTTCGTCAATATCCACAGACATGGAGACCTCTTTCAGCGGCCGTTGTTGCAGAGCCCATGACGAGTGAATTCGTGCGCGTTGCTCGGCGTTGGAGTAGGCAAGTGCGTGTTCGTATGTGAGTGGATCGTTGAAGATTTCCTCAATCTGACCCTCGAGATCTTGCTCGTCTTGTTCCCATTCATCGTTGATGGGCAATTGTCCTTTTTTCTTCTTTCCCTTGCCGGACGCACCAGTTTCGTCTTGCTCCATTTCTTCGTCGAGAGCATCGCCAAATTCGCTAGCTAGTTTTTGCAAGTCTTCGTCACCCTCAGCCGGCTCTTCTCGGACTGGAATAGCAGGCATGTCTTTGGGGATCTGGGAAGGATGGGGAGGGATAATAAATCCGTCAGCATCGCGACGAAACGTGAGCTGAGGAGCGCCGGAAAGATCGGCGCCAGCATCTGTGCCTCGTCGTGTCCTAACAACGGGTCCAGGCGGTGCCGGAGCCGACTCTTCTTCATCTTCGTTTGACGGGTCGTTTCGCTTGCGCTTTCTGGCTTTATCTTCTTGCTGCGCCCTGTATTCGTCGGATTTCCGGTAAAATGAGGGTGGATCGTGAGAGCTCTCAAGGAAATCTTGTTTCAAAAAGTCCTCCACCGACATTTGGCTAGACTCTGTAGAGTTGAATTCTGATAAGCGGTTCTGGATGGTGTGATTTGTGACTTTGACGATATATACGACTTCACGGACAGTGCGGCGAAAATTGTGCATACGCGCGGCCATGAGCAGGCAGGCACCGCAGATGCCTGAAGGGCGTCGTCCCATGACCATCCAGTCTCGACTCATGCGCTTGACCAGGCGGACTGCGTCTTCGGCCACTTTGGCTGTCTCCTGTCGGAATTCCATCTTGGTCGCAAATCTCCAGATCAGATCCTCGGGATATACGGGAATTAGGCCATCGTTGCCGATTGGCACGACTTCGTTGAGCTTTTTGAAGATTCTCCCGAGCTTGAAGACATTGAGCTGTACCAAGTCGGCCAAATCAATGAGCATAACTTTGCACGGAGGCTCGGCGCGGCAGGCAGCGTAGAGACAAACAGCGGCCACACTCGCAAGCGTACGACCTTGGATAAAGTTGGCGCCGGATGCAAGCTTGAAAACCTGCGTACCAGCAGTCACCAGACTATCGGAGACGTTGAGCTGCTGGGCGTACCCCTGCATCAAGCCACGCGCTTCTCTGATGCTCTTTTCTCTGTCCTCGGAGCCTCCCACTCGGCGAAAGGCAGGGCCCATGCTACGGACACCAGCCTGGTCGGCACCGATGTAAGATCCTTGGACCATGGCAGCACCCGAAGACGTCTCGCCAAACTGGACCTCGGCGACAATGTTGCTGTCATCAGCGACACGACCGCAGGTCTGGCAAGTGCCGTCGACGACATTGGGTCTGGGGCACGCCTTGTTGGGGCACTGTTGGCGGGCCGGGGGGGCGACAGCACCCTGCTTGTTGGCGACGGCCGACGATTGGCCCTGCTGCGCGGCGGCAGCGGCGGCCTGGCGACGTTCTTCGCGCTCGCGCATAGCTCTGACGGGGTTGGGACGCGCAAACCTGGGCTTTGGCGGCTCGCCGCGGCCGGATTTTCGCGACACGAGGGACGACGACATTGTGATGGTGGGGAGGCTCGCGGGGGCAGCGCCAGATAGTGGGAGTAGTTTGGCCAGATATGGTACCGTGAGCGACTCTAAATGTACTGGGGAAAGAATACGTCGAGGATGATAAGAAGGATGGCCCAGCACACGATCGCGGCCCCTGGGATGACGATTAACACGGTTGTCTGGTGAAGAAAATTGTTTCGCTCTGGTGAATCGCCCCCACCAAGAATTAAGCAACCGTGAGTCTGGTCGAGTGGGACCGCAGCCACACTCGCTGACTCATCCAGCACGAGGCGGCGCGTTCGAACCGGCAGCGTGTGCTTTTTTGCAGCCAGCTTTCATATGCCATATTGCCGAGGAAACATTTGGCTGTAAACGTTGCGAGCTCCTGTCGACACTCTGTTTTCTTCGTTCGTGAATTATGCGCACAGCTCTTGTGGAGTCTCGGTAAGCTGTGGACGGCTTGATCATACTCTGGCTGGCACCGAGGCATACCCTACAATGGCTGCTCAATGGCGTCAACTTGGATTCGGAAAAATGGAAAAGGTGAGGTTTTTATCGCAACAATATTCGAGAGTATAGTGCACCGCTCAATTTTTCATTTAATTTATTTTCTTGTTAGACGTCGTTGACAGCCGCATACAACGACTGCACGACAAGCCCCACCACGTACGAAAAATATGCCAAACTTTCCTTCGTCACCACCATTCAAAACACAGCAATGCTGGACCTGCCCGGTGTATATGATGACTTGAAGACATATACATACCATCTTTGCAGTTTCGTAAATACCCCTCTTGTACGACAGATTACAGGCGGCATCCATGTCAACGATGCCCTAATCTACGATGCCTGGGGCGGCTTGCCTCTCGAATGGACCGAGTGGTGGTCTCGCTGGCCAGACCACCGTCTTGCGCAGCAGGACCTCATCGATGGAATTGATGAGGAAGACATGCACACTGATGGGTGTGATTCAACCGAAGCCGAGATTCTCAGCGCTCGGCCCGCATCGCTCGGCAGCTGGCTCGCACAGCTAAAAGGCCTCGCGTTGACCAGGACGCAAAGGCCTGGACAGTCAATCGCCCTCCCAGAGGTCCTAGAAGCGCGCATGAAGACGAAGAAAAGTGCCGAAGTAGCTCGAGCCACAAGGCTTATTCGTGATATATGCGAGTCTAGAGGGATCACCCGTGTTGTCGACATGGGTTCTGGGCAGGGCTACTTGTCCATCACCCTGGCGTATCTCTTCCCAGACCTACAAGTTCTCGCCATTGATGGAAGCGAGACACAAGTGGCTGGCTCTCAAGCATTTGCAGACAAGTTGGGAATCTCGCGTGACCGATTGACGCACATGGTGCATTGGATTGACGGCTCATCGATACTGGCAGACAAGGTGCGAGATTGGTCGGCGGGAGAAAAGTGCATATTGGTCGGCTTGCACGCGTGCGGCAACTTGTCAGAACACATGATTCGATACTTTGCCACCGAACACTGCATGGATGCCCTCGCGGTCGTGGGATGCTGCTACAACCACATTGTGCCCAGGTCGGATACTTGTCTAGAGGGGTTTCCCATCAGCGATGCCCTTCGTGACAAAAATTTCACACTGAGCCCGACAGCATTGATGACAGGATGCCAAGCCCCAAACAACTGGCCACGGCCTGATCCCCGAACATCCTCCGTATTTGGTCGTCGTCGTCTCTACCGCGCGATGCTCGAAAAAGTCTTTTACGATTACGCTATTCGTGCGGCTGGCGATGGAGGCGAGCGTCCTGCCTGGGGCATCCGCAAAGGTGACATGGTGAACTTCACAGCCTTTGCGCACCGCGCCATGGACTGCCTCCACGTGGACACCGCGCAGCGCCCAACCGACAAGCAGTTGCGGGTCTACGAAGAAAGGTATCGCGACTGGGAAGGGCGCATCGCCATCTTGTGGACATTGAGTGTTCTCTGCTGCAAGGTGGTGGAGAGCGTGATTGCCGTGGACCGGTATTGTTACTTGACAGAGCGCGAGGAAGTACAGGATGTCGACGTCGTGCCTGTTTTCGACGCGAAGGTATCACCGCGCAATCTGATGATTGTAGCGACGAAGAAATAAAAGGCACAGCGACTTATGGGCTGAATGTGAATGCCAAGTACAATAGCCCGCTAGCCAATTCAAACCTCGAGACAATTACGAGTGCAATTGCGAACCACAGAAGTGGCATAATCTCAGGCTACAAGGAGAAACATATCGACGACTCAAGATGCTTTATTATTTAACAGGATTTTGGTGATGATGGCTTTTGGATTGATTTGAGAGTGGCTAATTTGCGATTTAGACTGATATCTCAAAGCCGTGCGCTTCCAGGTTTACATAGCATTTCTCATCCTTCAACGTTCACTAGACCAACTGTGCCATTCTCGCCAACAACGACGTCCTGAGCTAGACGGCCGTTTGCAGAGTAGCAGCGGAATATCTTATATCATTGCACAATAAATCCTTAACTCAGGAAACAGATAGGGTACTTAGAACCAAGGCATAGTAGCTAGGTTCTTATAGTTGATGTTGTCGGGCAAGCACTCAACGCGGGTAGTGCATGTGCCGAAGACGTGGTCCCATGATGGGCGAAAAGATAAGAGGGAAAAAAATAGATGGATTTCGTTGATTGGGCATCGACGCTGGCATAAGCACAGGTCTCTGCCCAACACCCTAAGTCATTACCGAGACGCGCAGTGCCGACTTGTCGTAAGAGAACGGCGCCCTAAATGCGGAAGCGATTCCCGACAATGGCGGGAGCGATGCAAGCTGACGCCCGCACGTTGACGCCGTGGCAGCCACGCACCACATCACCGGGATGAACTGTTTCACTCTTGTCTAGAACCAAGGTTCCGCCGTGGGGCAATGGTTCTTTGTTTTCCGATCAATGGGAGTCCCGATGCCGCTAAAGGGCTAGTCCATGCTTGATTCAGATGGTCGATACTTGGATGAACTGCTCTCGAGAGAAGCTGCCACCAGCTAGGCAGACATAACCTATGATGATGAACGCTGCAGCAACAAATCCGAATTAATGATAGTCAACCCCCCGACGGCACCACGGCGGCCGCCACCCCCGACAGCGCCGGCGAGCCCCATTATCCCCGGCATCTTCACCATTGTGTCGTCGGGTCGGGTACCATCATTTCTGGCCTGCAGTACTCGAAGCGGATTCAAGACGGCACCATCAACGACGCGAGCGTCGTGGATTCCAATAATTCGCTGACGGGACTTGGGGTACGGCATGATTGAGGTGGCCAATGGCGTGTCGGTGGGCCTCTTCATATCGGCCGTGGTTGTGTATCCGTATGGAACGCAGCGCAGTGGACTATTAAGCTTTTGAGAAGCCGTGCAATGTATTTACATTGCTCTTGAGAGTGTAATGAGGTTTACGTAAAAGTAGCATGCCATGAGCGCTCAAGCATATTCGTACTATGTGCCTAGCTTGTCATTGGAGTGGGATTGCATGAAATTTCCATTCCACCATCAATGCGGAATGTGAAGCTTGCTGAGAAGCAGGAATGGGATGGGCCTGAAATTCCATACATTCCAGAGAATGGTAAGTGTGGTGGAAAAGGAAAAACGATCCGTTGAGTACCACTCCTGTATCAAAATAAGCTTTATGTATTACAATAGATGACTAATACAGCGATCGGCCTCGTGGCCTAATGGCTAAGGCATCGGTTTCCGGTACCGGAGATTCCAGGTTCGAGTCCTGGCGGGGTCGTGTCTATTTTTGCCCTCGATTTGCAAGAATATCCTTTTTTTGCTCTTATTTCATGAAGCTATTTACTGTTCTTGTTCAATTTTTTTTTTGGAATTACTGCTCTCAATGCTGACTTCTGCCCGCAGCATGTGAAGACTTGGCGTGGGGATGCCACCCACCTTGACCGCATTCGTGCCCTTTTGATCTTGATAGCTTTTCTTGTTCTATTATCTCCTGCTTTGCTCTTCCGCCAAGATGCTCTGAAGATCTGTTCGCCGCTAAGAAATTGACCAAAAAGTGACCAGGCCAGACCCAATGAAGTCAAGACGGAAAATTGAAGGTTTCAAAGTGTTAGAGAAGAGCGGATCATAGCCAACTATTACAGCTCGCAGGAAGACTTGTCACGCAAACGTTTCATTTGTAACGCCGCAAAGGTATCAACTCGTCATGTTCAAATTTGTATTAAAGACTTGGCCAGCTTGCCCTCAGGGTATAATATTGCCACATAAATGCTTGTCAAATGCAACTTAGCCACAAAATGAAAGCAATCCAAAAATCGCAAAGAACATGCATGCCCCCCACCATTATTGTGCAGATCCATAGTACTCAACTACATTGCCCTGGGCAGGCTGGTTCTGCTGCTGCTGCTGCGGCTGCGGCTGCGGCTGCTGCATGACAGGACCCTGCATCATTGGCTGCTTCCCGCTCCCCTGCATCGGCACGTTCGAGTACATGGGCTGCGGCGGGTACGGATACTGGACGGGCTGGCCGACAGGCACGTACACGACGGTGAAGGGGTTGCGCAGGTGGTTGCGGAGGTACGTGTCCGAACAGCCCGCAACGAAGAGCACAAAGGCAAACACAAAAACAATCCAGATGAAGACGCAGGTGGCGATCATGGGTCCGCCGATGCGCTTTTGTGAGCAAAAGTCGGCCAGCCCGTCGTCGTACGGACTACTGTAGTGGCTGCTGGGGTTCCTGTTGGATGGATAGTCATTGTAAGGGTTGCTTCCGTAGGGGCTGTTGGTTGGGCGGCTGCTGGAGGAGCTGCTTCTGCTGGATGTGCGGTAGGGATAATATGAGTCCGATTCAGGGTCGTCGCCATATGGGTCGTATGGATCGTATGGATCGTAGGGGTCGCTGCTGGTGGTTGTAGGGAGGCTGCCGAGAATTCTGGTGCTGGTAGGTCCCAGCGTGCTGAGCTTTCCGTTCGGGCTCGCCGTCGGAGTAGCGAGCGAAGTGGTTGATGTCGCGACGCCTACCTGGCGCACACGGTTCGGCACAATGGCAGCATCAACAACCGGTATATGACGCAGTGCGTAGGCTTCCACTGCCACGGACCGGCGATAATCGCCGTCTGCGCTGTTTCGACACTGCGCCAGGTTGATGACGGTAGACGTAGTCAATATGCCGCCGATAATGGCCAGGATGATCCACGACACAAGCCACATGCCAACATGTGCGCCGGGATGCACGCCCTGGAGGAACTGGCGTCGCGGGCCCGTCAGGGCAAAGCACAAGTCGGCCACGGCCCAGACCATGGGGATGATCAGGGCGCAGGCGCAGGCGGGAAAGATGATATTGCTAGCCGAGTATGTCTCGTTGAAGCGCACCATGGACAGGCCGATGGCGAGGCCAATGATGCCAAAGACGAGGATCAGTACGTTGAAAACGAGCTTAGTCATGCGCCAGGAGCGGTCTTCATGGTGGTTGGGGTCGAGAGGGTTGCCAGACGCGTCCGTGGCGGCCGGCGTGGTCTTGGCGAGGTTGTAGGCCTGGGTATCGATACACGCCACAATGAAGAGAACAAACGTGGTGAGGAAGAGCAGGGCGATGAAGACAAACTGGGCCACGAACTGGCGCGCGTCGTCGGCATCGTAGCCGTCGTCGTCTTCGTCGTCGTTGTTGCTCGTGAAGTGAGCCAGAATCGCAAACGCGGCAATGAGCCCGGCGTAGATGATCCAGCAGATGAGCCACACGCCCACGTGCACGGCCGGGTGCAGCGCCTTTCGGAACTTGCGCGCAGCACGCACCGCCATGTCGGCAATGGCGAACACAAGCGTTAGCACGTAGACGGGCAGGGGAATGGCCAGGATGGCCTCCTCGCCGGACAGGTCAAACGCGCCGCGGGTGGCGGCGTGGCCAGACAGGCCGAGGCCGACGACGGAGAAGACCAGGGCGGCCACAATCAGCAGCATGTGGCTGCGCTTCCACGCGTCGATTGGCCTCGCCTGTTGCTCGGCAGACACCCAACTGGCCGTCCCGCCGGCAGCGGGAGCAGCGGCAGCATCCTGGGCCGCGGGCTGCTGCGCAGCGCGCGCAGGCTGCTCCTCGGCAGCGCTCACAGGGTCGGCGTGGCGCGTCGACGGCGTCGCCACCGTCGTGAGCGGCGAGACGGCCGCCGGGGGCGGCGAGGGACCTACCGCGGCAGCACCACCATGGGGGTCCGCGACGGCGCACTGGCCCTGCTCGTGGACGGCAGGCACGTGGTCCGCTGTCGCTGGCTCTGGCGAGGCCATGACTTGACTTGCGCGGGTTTTGGCGGTTCGCACGTGGTTTGTTCACGGCCGTTAACCGTTGGACCGTTGACCGTTGGCGGAAAAAAGGGGTTTGTGGAGGGGTCGCGCGAAAAAAATGAGGGTATCGACAAATTGACAAAAAATCAGTCCGCACCAACAACAGGCTGCGAGACAAACAAATAGCGAGTGACTGGCCGAAAAGATTGGCACTTTGAATCGAGAGACGACAATGATGGCAGTGTCAAGTTTTTTGTTTTTCACCTTTTTTTTTCCTTCCTCCCTCCTTTCTCGTGGTTCGCACGCCACTAGCTCCAGGCAACAAAGCCAAATGGGCCGGTAATAAGGCTGAGGCGAAATTAGCAATTTTAGTATGGGCTATTTTAGGCAACACGCGCTATACCTTTTCCAGTTATCAATAACTCGATAAGGTCTTATCGAACGGCTTACAGTATCCAATTCCACCTGACAGTCCGATGCCAGAGGGAACGCTGGTTGGTTTGTTGGAGCTTCATCCGCGGCTGTTCAACGTTCTCTCCCGGTACAAGAATATGCTCGTCGTCTGTTTGGCCCCGCAGCCGCAGGGCGAGCAAATCCTGACAGGGAACCGTCATGGACAACTCGTTGGGCTCCTCCCCGCACTTGCCCTCCCGACGTCAACATGAAATCGACGCATACTAAACAAGTATCTGCGAAATCTTTCGCACAAGATCGGCCATGAAGTCGTTCCACATTGCAAGCACCTGCAAAAACAACGCATGCGTGAGGGACAAGGATCACGATCTGTGGGTTTTCTTCGTCGCAGAGTTCTACTATACGGAGAAGACTGTCCTGATGAATCGGAAATTACGGCGTTGTTTAAAGAGGATTTGCGAGAACCAGTGGACGCTGTGCTGATTGTCGGAACGAGACTGTTGATCCCATCAGTGTTGGGGTTTGCCAAACGCCTGTCAAAAACAGTGAGGCCTCGGGATCCTGACAATGTGGTAGCATGGGTAAACAAAGCGCCACTCAAGCTGGGTTCGCATTTTGAATATCTCATCACTCACAAGCAGGTTGGAGACTGCGATGTCTTTGCGTCGCTGTATCTTCAGGATAACTGAGAGGAAGTCGGAGGAATCAACAAGTAACGATACAACACACTGAAAATGTCAGGAATCAATCGGTAATTCAGTACAATAAATCGAGATTACTGCCAATACATGGCCTGCTACCACCCTCGATAGAGTGCCATACATAATCCGCTTTTGCATTACCTTCTTACCTTCGCAGCGCTGCCCCCAAAGGCAAGCTGTTTACACATTTCTATACACTCAAGCCTGGCTATGCAAAAGCGATGCATGTTTTGGGCACTCTTTATCCCGGCTGAGAAGGTTATATTGACACTGAGCATACTGCCGGAGGACGGCGTTTGGAAGATGACTCAGGAAGATCATCGTCATGTTTTCGCTTCCGCTGCAGACGGTCCCTGCACGATCGCAACTTCCGTTCCTGCTTTATTTTCTCGTCCTCTTCTTCATCGGTGTCGGGTAAGGAATTTATCCATATCGTCCATTCATGTTCTTGTTGGTAGCGCTTCTCTAACAGTTCCTTCCTTATTTCCGACGGCTCACGACCTGGAATCCACTGGCGAATTGCCGGGCCGTATGTATCCTCACGGTTTCTGGAATATATTGCCAGCGAGTTGAGTTTGTTGTAAACCTGTTTATAGAAGTCGTCGTTATATAATTCGGCTTGAGGAAGCGTCGGCGTTGATGGCTGAGTCTTGAGCGATCTTCCTTGGTTGCTACTAGGGCATGGCAGGTCCTAGGGATAATAATGTTAGGCTGAGCAAAGCAAGACGAGCTGTGGTAAGGTTGCTCACTATACCTCATAATTTGGCTGGATAAGCGCGTGCGCATAAGCCCAACGCCTGTTGAGTTCCACAGGAGGGTGCGCTGACATCGGCACAGGAGTCATTTCTCCTTTGCGTTGAACCAACTGGAGGAAAACAATCAAGATGGACGTAATCTGATGAAGTGGTGACACATATATTAGTCATCCATCGCCTTGCACCCTTGCACCCCCTCACCTTACCCTATATGGTCGGGCCCACTGTTCAGGCCGCCATTCTTACTGATACAGACAAACCGTTCACGCCATTCGGTTCCGATCAATATCCTCAGTCAATCTCAGAAAATGTTCAACTATATTGCCATCGGCGTCCCGAAACAAGCTTTCTTTGTACTGCGACCATCCAATGCCGCTGCTCAACTGGCCTTTTCAGACGTGGTCGATTATGTTCAGCAGCAGCAACAAGATGAAGTTTCACAGCGAGAATGTCACCACATAGCGAAATTCCTTTGGCTTGATTCTGAGCGGCAGGTTGCATCAGACTCCGTGGCTCGGCTTCTCAGATACCGCAGTCAGATGGACTTACCGGGTTCTTCGTCTCCCCAAAGCCCTGGCGGTCACATGAGTAGTGTTGACATCTGGATGGGCGGCTATTTCATTGACCTCTCACAGTCATATTCCAAGGACTGGTCCTTTGGTCGGCACAGCTCGAAGCTTTTCGCAGATCTTGTGGTAACACGCGACAAACTTACTCATGTCTCGCGTAAACACGCTATCCTTAGAATCGATAGCGAAACGCGTTTAGCGTTCTTAAAGCCTGGAGCCAGCGAGATTTCCGTAAACTCAGTGAGTGGCAATGAAACCACCTCTAGGCTTGCTTTACGTCTAGGCACGAATGTTGTTGAGATGGGCGAGCTACGGTTCGATTTCGAGTATACAGAATTCAGCCGGACCGATGAAGCAACCGGCATCCTTAGCGAGTACCTGACCGATGTGTACGGGTCTGATTCACAGCCGCCACCGGAGTCCATTTCGGCTACACCAACTCCGAGCTCTGCAACGAAGATCATAGGATCATATGTGCTCAATGGCATTCTAGGAGCCGGCACATTTGGATCCGTGAGACCTGCTACTGGTATAGCTGGCAACAAGATTCTCGCAATAAAATCGATTGTCACTCGGCCAAACATCTCAGCTGAGCCTATCGCAACCATGGAGGAGCTTACCAGACGACTAGATTCATCGACCGATGAAAATTATATCCTTCGTTTGGTTGAATCCTTCCGAGTTGCTGGGAATTTGAACGAGGTTCACTTGGTTCTGGAGCCATTTACACCGATTACTCTCGAGAAAATTCCGGTTCAGACTCAGTGAGCAAGCTCAACTCAAAGTTTCTGGCGAAAGTTACTAATATAAGCACTTTATCGCTTAAGCCCATTAAAGTGGGAAATTATCAGCTGCGATTGCCTGAGGGGACTTGAATTCCTGCGTGATGCTGGTTTCGTTCACGCAGATATCAAGCCAGCGAACATAGGCTTAATCAATAGTTATTTAGAAGAGGCCATCCTAGAGCCTCCGCTAAATTGGGCCAACCCAAAGCAACGCCGCCTGAAAGCATTTCTCCTCGACGTTGATTCCGCGAAACCCCTCGCTAAAGGCGCACTATTGCCAGCAGCCCCTGGAAACGGGGGCACACTTGGTTACTTATCACCTGAACGTGAGCTGATCGGGTATGATCATACAGAGGATGTTTGGGCTTTTGGCGTTACAGTCTGCCGTGTCCTCCTCGGAACTCGTCCGTTCCACGATTCCAGAGGGAACCCATGGAGAGATGATGCTCCGGATAAAGAAAAACGGCGCTCTATGTTTCACGAGCAGTATGAGATAATACTTGATCGTATTATGAACCATGCATCTGCTACTAGTGAGTTTGATCTAGTCCATCGAAGAAGAACCAAGAACTAAGTAAAAGAAGGCGCATTTAAGAAATTTATCTGGGGTTCTTTATGTTTTGAATGGGCCGAATATGCTATGCAGAACAAGAATCGACGCACAAGCACTGAACTTTTGGAGGAATTGATTAAGGACTCTGTTTTTCTTCCAGATTTTGAGAGAGCAAGAAGGGCGAAGGGATCTGAAGCGTACTCCAGTACTAGGGCTAGTTGTTGGCAGGCACGCCCCACTGTGGGTGCTGACCTGACCTGACCTGGCCACGCTGGCCTCCTCCTGATAGATCTTCCCTCTCCATCATCACACAATACACCTGTTTCCCTTGCTGTTGCTTGCGTCTGACCGGTCGTGATATTCATTCCCTCTCTCCTTGATACTACACTAGTGTTAACTGGGTGGCAGGGACGAAAATAAGACGGAAGAGAGAAACAGAAATGGACAGTTTATCGAATAGGAACTCATGAAAGCAGTGGGAGTTAGTCTATAGATAGTATCGATAACCGGACCTCTAGCTGGTGGTTGTGGCTGAAGTCATATAAGCCGATAATGGGGGACCAGATCTGGGAACAGCCGGACCAAGTTCGAGTCCAAAGGCCAAGTAATTAACCCAGCTGCAAACCTGAGTTTCACATAATGCGCGATGGCTGCAATCCCCCCTACCCTATCAAATTCTCACCTTCCATAAGGGGTCTGCAGATTGTGAAGCCGAGGACATAGCGACAATGATCTGGCGAGAAAGCCCAGCTTGCCCGCCCTCATATTGTCAAAGAAAGCGGCTAGTATAAAGAAGGGAATAGGAGAGATAGTAAGAATATTATAGGGTAATAGTTGGTCCTGTTGGTTACGCCGCCGGTATGCCATTCATGCGCTGGCACCCACTGTCTGACAATTTTCGTTGATGTGGGTTTCGAAATAAGCGTCTGTTATGTCACTTGCCCTGACACCAATCTGTCGTCCGAGCTGCGCTTTGGCTTGAGCCAGCTGCCGCCCACTCACGGTTTGTGGACAGACAGACTGCGGATTGGTAGCCATGAGCTCCAAGTACCTTTGGTTCGATTGCATCAGTTGCAGGTTGAATTGTCCAGCGAACATGGCCGCTCCGCTGCCGTGAGCCGGCAAGACCGTCTGGATGTTATTCTCCCCCAGTATGCTTTGACTGAGCTGCAATTGATTCTTCTGTCGCTGGGTGTTCCTGCTGACAAGAAAGTTGACAGTGCTCTCAAGTTCGTCGCCCATAAGTGCGACTCCGTTTATCATGGCGACTGTCCCCAGCTGGGTATGGGCTTGGACATTTGTCACATTCATCACACCGTCCTGCATCTGGACGGTGAAGGATTGATCGCTCAACAGGGGGACATTTCCGCCTTCCCTGGCCCCGAACTTTTGTACGAGCGAGGATTGTGCCATGACTGGGACTCGCTTCAAACTGTTTGCATTGCGCCCGGCGACATGGTCCCCGTGCTCATGGCTGAGGATGACCATGTCAATGCCCAGTCCTGTTTGCTGCTGCAACTCTTGGTTGCAGCTCTCAGCAAGAACCTTTGCGGTGGATGTGTCAAACATGAAGACCGAGCTCTGGGATGCTTTTATGTAGTAGACCATGACGCCCAGATTGAGGTTCGGATCGAACCCCTCGCCGTTCAAGTTGACGGATGTGGGCTGAATTCCCTGAGGTATCTTGTCGGTATCATCAGAGCCGCCTGCGTAGCAGCCATATATTTCAGCTCCGACATTTTGAATGCGGCCGAAAAAAATGTTGACTTGATTCTGTTGGTTCTGCCTCTTGAGCATCGCGCTTCGTTGCGAGTTAGTTACCTCGTCACAGGCCATCTGAAATAGTTGGCTACTTACGGCACATATCGAGTTGACCAGTCAAGACTTGGTCCAAGCCGACGGGCATGGAGAGCATCACCGTGTATGCAGGCAGTCGTGCTGCCGATCAAGGCCGCTATCGCCTTGAGGATTTCTGTTCGCATGATGAACTGGCCGGTGCACTTTACCTGAGGCGCTGTAAGAAGAGTAAATGAAGTGAATTGAGGGATTGGATAGACGACGAATTATTTAAAGCTTGGATAGGAGCATATATTGGTGGTCGCATGCTGGGGACTCTCTCTGTCAAGGTGGTCGAGCCCACGACTGTAACAGCCTTGAAACGAGATGCGCTGCAAGGTCCAGCCAGCGCGTTTCGAACGGGGGCCCCATTTGTCGGCCTCGCGTTTGCTTTCCCCCTTGCATTCCTTTGTTGATTGAGACAGGTCAAATAAGAGACGAAAAAAAACGAGGTCGAGTTGGGCGCTGCCGAAGGAAATTGTCGATTGCCTAACATCCTGAGTTTTTTTGGCTGTAATGTAGTAGCTGCTAAACAAAATAATATATGAATAAATAAATACAAGAAAAGGCCGATCTCGGTTCCGCTAGCCCATGGCCCCTGAAGAAAAGCATGAAAGGTACTTCCAGTTTCCATGACAGTTTTAAACTAGGATTGAAATAGTAATATGGCATGTTTCTTTGTGAATAGGTGCGCGTGCCCTGGCGAAAGATGCCACCCCCGAAGGACTTCTACACCACTCAGTGACTCAAAAGGGCATCAAAATTAGCCCCTGGGTAATCCAAACTGGGTTACTCTGTTGGAGTGGAAACGCCGTGGACAATGGGATTGTGGTCTATACTTCCACAAGCTGGTGGCACGGCATCGATCGCCAACCAGCGTAGATTCACAATAGCGCGGTACTTTGTAGGCACAATGCAATGTTTATCCGAACCAATCAGTGCATGGGGTAACATCTGGAAAGGATCATCGTGCAGTTCGTACCAGCACGTGGGCACCCTGACATGACGGTTGCATTGCATGAAGCTTATGCCAGATACACAATGGGATGAGATTGAACGGTACCATTTCACCCCGTGCATAGATAAGGGCTAGCTTTGAAATTTACGGCCTTGAATTTTTTAGGCGTGCTGCAGAGCAGCTAATCCTAGTTATTAGTAACTCGAGTTACTTCGTGCAACCTTGCCTTGTCAACCTAGTGAACAACAGTTGCACCACACAGCAGCCTCGTCTGTTGTGTACGGAGCGAAGGAAGGGAAACAAAGAGAAACGAACAAAGATGTAGCAAAGCTTTATCAGAGGTTTGATGCGTTGAATTGTGATGCAGAAGCAAAACAGGATACGTGGCTTGGAGGTGCAGAGGGCAGGTGACCTCAGGTCGTCACACTTGGATGACCCTGACAGCTTGCAGGACTGTTAAAAACTGATACACGGCTGTTCAACACTCTCTCACCAGTAAGGAATATGCCCGTACCGTGTGACTGAGTCACAGCCAAAGCTCAAAGACTTAGCATCTGAGCATGGATCACATAGCAGCCCAATGCTAGATTTTACGACAGAGGAACAAAGCAGCCGTCTTTATGATTATTAGTATATATATAGCTCTTCTTTCCTCCTGTTAGCTTTCCCTTGGGTTTTTTGTCTTCCTTCCTCATCCTCTAAAGTCTTCGAACAACGCACTGTTTTTCCGTTCCAATTCCGCTGCATGATGCCTCGTTCGATATGGTCCCGGTGCAAGGGTCTGGCTGGCTTTGCTACAAGCTCGCCAGCTTCGGCAGAGAATGAACAGCCTCTTGATAAACAGGTTCCACCTCGTCAGCAAGACAGCGAGGCGGGCCAGAGGGATACCATGCTGGAAGAAGTCGAAATGGGCCTGGACGTGTTGCACGACGGGGAAGACGCAAGCTTTGAGTATGTCAAAATAGTCCTCGCCATTTTCAGAATGATAACATTTCCTAGCATCGTTGCCGTCCTGGCCTGGCCTCATGGTCTGGGCTCAATATCGTCCGCTGCCTGCGCTTTTGATAAGTTGCCGACAGAATTCTCGAGGAATACGATCCCGACCAATATGGATCCTGCCCCCAACCAGCTCAAGCAATGCCTCAGAGACATGAGAGTCAGGCTTCCAGAGCATATCCTGCACAACATGGAAATAAACCGAGGCAAGGTATTCCCGCAAACGTGCAAGTGGGTTCTAGAACGAGAGGAATTCTGTGCCTGGAGCACGAGTCCTGAATCGTCCCTTCTTTGCATAACCGGGGCTCCTGGTGTTGGCAAAACAATGATCTCGACATTTCTGGTCAAGTTCTTGAAGGAAAGGGTGGAAAAGTCCCATGGGGGACTTTTTGCGTACTTTTTCTGTGCCGACAAAGAAAGTGACAGAAAGTCTGCTACTGCCATCCTGCGCAGCCTCATCTGGCAGTTGCTGGTCCAGAGGAAGGAACTTTTTCCGGCCATACAGACGGTTTATGAGAGACATGCAGAAGCTCACGTTTTTGAGGACCTCTTTTGCGATTTCTCGGGTCTATGGTTGATTTTCAGGAAGATGATCCAACATTGCGACTTGGGCGAAGTCTTTATTCTGATGGATGGCCTGGACGAATGTGAAATATCGGAGCGTCAGAACTTGTTATGGTCAATCGCGTCGTTTTTCGGATCGGTTCCTGAGAGGGCTTCCTGGAGAGTGAAGTTCATTACTACCTATCGGGATAACATGGACGATATTGAAGAGGAGCTTACTGGTGTCGGTTCGCGGCTTCGACTCTATTCCGCCGCCAACAACGACGATCTCGACACATACATATCTGCAAAGGTGGATGAGCTCGAGAAAAGAAACAAATATGGGAGAGATCTTAAAGTTGCCGTCAGAAACTCGTTGAAAGAGAATGCCGACGGTACTTTTCTCTGGGTATCTCTCATCGTTGCCGAGTTGACAAAATTGGGAGTACAGAATGCGGATGTCCCTGGAATACTCACGACCATGCCCCAGCCACTTGACGAGTTTTACGCCGGTTTACTTGCTCAAATTGAGAGCCACCGAGATCAAGTCGCCTTTATTTTTAAATGCATGATTGCCGCACCGCGCCCGTTGACAAAGGACTTCATGGCGAAAGCCCTTGCATTGAAGAACACTGGCACAAGTCAAAACTCGTCAACTTACGACGACATGATCTCAACTTGCGGTCCAATCGTCAGCTTGAGCAGCAATAATCCACCCACTCTCAGCTTTTGCCATACGTCTGTGAAGGACTTTCTACTGAAAGAAAACCCACCTCCAGTACCATGGTATTGTACAACATACCGTGTTGCAAAGGCTTGCCTCGACAACGTCTGCGGGACGCTTACGGCTGAAGAGAGGCCTAGCCAGGAGCCCGACGCAAGACAATGCTTCTAGAGACAATGTTCAAGGCAAGGACGTCTGATTCGGGTAGGGTTGGTTTCCAATATCTCTTAGGTCAGATAGACCTCATGATAGAATAAAGATTGTTATGTTCTTCGAGGATATACTAGATAGGTAGGCAACTACTTTACTATTTTATTATACTAGTTTTCTAGATTTTCTATTAACTAGATTTTATAATAATAATATATTAAAGGCTTTATAATATAGTAATTTTATATTATAATATTTTAAATAAGTTAATCTATAATTTAATTACCTTTATAGTATAGTAGTTCTATAGTATAGAGTTCTATATAGGTTAGTATATAGATTACTAGTTTAAATCTAACTAAAGGTACCTTAAATAATTTTTTTAAAAGTTTAATACTATAGCCTACTTTTATAACTAACTTATAAAGAAGTATAGGTAAGGTAACTATAAAGTAAGCTAAAGTAAAAGCTAAAAGGTATATATTAACTATTATACTACCTTAATTCTTAATTAATAAAATAAGGTTAAAATCGCTACTATATTTAGACTCCCTTTCGCACGTGTGTGAATCAGGCGAATTTTTTGATATGGTCCTCCCAGCTCTGTCAATGACCGTTGTTCACGCAGCCTTATCATGAATACTGCTTTGTCTTCCACTAGGTTTAAGTCCGGGCAATGCTCATTTCAACGCGCCCGTCGCGGATTTTGCACGCGGACGAGAAGTAAACTCCGACGGTGCTTGATCGGGCTCACCACGCCGCCCGCACTAAAGCGGTAGCTGCATCTCAGATCGGCTCCTTTCTGCCAATCACAACGTGCCGCGGGCGAGTAGTGGAAATAGGACCCGATCGGAAGCGCCCGCAAACAGGGGACCAAAGTTGCCGTTAAAATCGGACGAGAGCCGTGACGCCAAGAACTCAAGATCGAACCCAACCTGTCTGTTCAACTTCCAATCTGCTATACCAGCCCTCTACAGAGACAACGAATACAGAAACAAGATAAAAGAATGGCAGTGGACGAAACTGCGGCGCCGCTCAAGGCGACTGGACCTGAAAACGAGAAAGAGAAGCAGGATGCAGCCGCCAAACCCGCACCACCACCTGCCGGGCTGCCCAGCATCACGTATCCCGGCGTCTGGCATTACTCTCTTCTGGCCTTTGCGCTGCTGCTGGCCATGTTTCTCGTTGCACTCGACGTAGTGAGTTATGCCCTCTCCCTCTGTGTGTGGTGGTGGATAGGCGAGCACTAACATGGCGCAGAGCATCATTGCCACGGCCATCCCGACCATCACGGCCGAGTTCCACAGCGTCAGCCAGATTGGCTGGTACGGCTCTGCCTTCTTCATGTCCCTGGCTGCCTTCCAGGCCTTCTGGGGCAAGGCCTACAAATACTTTGCCCTCAAGATTGTCTTCCTCAGCTGCATCGGCATCTTTGAAATCGGCAGTCTGATGGCAGCCCTCGCGCCCAACAGCAACGTCCTCATCCTGGGCCGAGCCATCCAGGGCCTCGGCGGCGCAGGCATCACCGGCGGCTGCTACACTATTTTTGCATTTATAACGCCGCCCAAGAACATGCCCGCCATCCTCGGCCTCTCCTCGTCCGTCTGGAGCTGCTCGTCCGTCCTTGGCCCTCTCCTCGGCGGCCTTTTTACGCAGGACGTGACGTGGCGATGGTGCTTCTGGGTCAACCTGCCCATTGGCGGCACCACCATGCTCATCTTGCTTTTCGTGTTCAAGACGCCTGCTCATTCGCGCATGGCTCACACCACCTGGAAAGAGGTGCCTTTCCTCTTTGACTTGCCCGGCATCGTCACCATTGTCGCCGCGCTCGTCTGCCTCCTCGTTGCGTTCGAGGAGGGTGGCGTGCTCCGTCTCTGGACCGACAGTGTGCCCATTGGCCTCGTCGTCGGGTTTGTCCTGCTCATGGGCCTGCTGGTCGTCATAGAGTGGAAGCAGGGAGAAAAGGCCATGATTGTGCTGCGCATCATGAAGCGCAGGACCATCCTCATCCTCGCCCTCTTCAACCTCACAGCCCAGGCTGCCGGTTTTGCTCGTACATACAATCTGCCCATTTACTTCCAGGCTGTGCAGGGTGTCTCGCCTTCCCAGTCCGGTATCCGCATGTTGCCCACTGTGCTCACGACGTGTAAGACAAGTCCCGTGGTATAGATTTCTCAACTGCCTGTTAACGCGATATTTTCTAGCTCTGTTTAGCTTCATTGGATCCGTCGCGCTCGGCAAGCTAGGCTACTACCAGCCGTTCCTTTTGGTTGGGGCTGTCTTTCTAACCATTGGCTCCGGCATGCTCTACACTCTCGGGCCTGAGTCGTCTGCCGCCCACTACATTGGCTACCAAATCCTGGCCAGTATTGGCTCTGGCCTTGTCATTCAGATCAACGTGGTTGTCGCGCAGGCCATTACGCCTCGCCCAGACATGGCCGTGACCATTGCCCTCGTCCTGCGTAAGCTCCATCATAAAACTTTGTGTATTTAGTTTTGTTTCTAACCTCATACAGTGTGGCAGTTCGTTGGCGGCACCATCGGAGTCTCGGCGGCCCAGAATATTCTGAACAATGTCCTACTGAAGTCGCTTCCCGTCAATAGTCCCAACATTACGGCCGCCAAGGTCCTTGCTGCTGGCACCACGTCGTTGCACGACGCTTTTCCCGACCCTGCAGATTTTTCCACTGTTGTCAATGCCTATATGAATGGCATTCGTGCCGCCTGGATCTGGGGCATCATTTTATCTGGCCTCGCTTTTCTTATTGCGTTTGGTGCCGAGTGGAGGAGCATCAAGGTCGAGGATGTTCAAAAGCGCACTGAGGAAAAACCCGCTACATCTCAAGCTTGACCCAGCACTCCGACAATATGTGTTTTAACACTTGTAAAGGCCAGATCACCGTACGCTGAGCGATTATGAGTTAAATACGTTTTAATTTACACTTCTCTCCTCTACTCGTCCGCTCGCGTTCGCTATTGATACCTTTATTACCTGTAAATACGAAATAGTGTATTTGTCCTGTCGGCGAAATCTAATTGAGTCGGACCTATTCGGCTACATTGTTAACCGGTGACTTATTTTGAAACTAGCCTATTTACTGATGCTGGTGGCCACCGAACCCGGCAGAAGGGCCGCTAGGTAAGCCCCGATGCAGTATAATACGATATGCCGCACTCGTTATTAGTAGCAAGAGCCAGACCACGAGCCAAACCAGCAAGGCCAGAAATATCGCCCGGATAACGTCAGGACCACTTACCTTAGTCGCGGTATTAAGACCAACAGGGCACATATAGGGTAAGAGGTAAAGTTATTATATTATATATCTTCTATCTAGTTATATAGTATAGGTAAGTGCTAGATATACTAGGTAATAGGAGATTATTCTTCTAGCTTCTAAGCTACTTATTATTATTTTTACTTAATCTATATTAACTAAGAAAAATAACTAAAATTAAAATTAAAATAAAAAATTAAAATAAAATAGAAGTAGTACTATTAGCATAAGAGCTTTTTACTAAGGGTATAAGCCTTATATAATAGTACTAGTACTAGCGGATTTTCTAGAGGTATATAGATTTTAGTATATAATATATATAAATAGAGGTATCCTTTAAACCTCTTAATATATTCTATCCCCGCTATGGCTATGGCCTACTAGCACCTAGCACTAGCACTATTACTATTACTATTACTAGCACTATCGCTGGTCACGCCGCTGCCGCTGCCGCTACTGCTGCTGCTAAGGCTCTTAAAGCCTCTTAATAGTCACTAATTCGCTTAAAAAAAACGCCCTTTTATAGCTATTAAGATATATATATAATCGCATTCTTATATAGCTATAATAGCCTTTAAAATATAAATTTAGTAGTACTTAGTAGGTACTTAGATCCTCTAGTATTATGCTAACTAACTATAGTACCTATAAGTTCCCTATTATATAAGGCTTATACCCTTAGTAAAAAGCTCTTATACTAATAGTACTACTTTAAAATAATAACTATAAAGAAAAGTAGTAATTATTATAGCTATTATAATATATTATAATAATAACTTAATTCTTTTATTTATTAATAAGTATAATAGTACTTATTAGTATATTTAAGTTATTTTTTTTTAAATATAAAATAACTTTAAAATAGTTTATAGTTATATAGAAAGCCTTATTATTATATAGAAAGCTTTATTACTATATAAAAGGTTTTATAATTATTATATTTTCTAATTTTAATATATAAGGTAATTTAACTTAAAAACCTATATAAATAAATTTTATAAAAAATAAAAGTTATACTATAAACTATATTTAATAAAAATATCTTATCTTAAAAATTATAAAATATATAAAAGATTACTAACTAAGGTATATTAAGTACTAAGTATACTATATTAATACTAAATATACTATATTCGTATTATATTAATACTATATATACTAATTAATTATAATAGTCTTAAGAGTAATAAAATAGTAATAAACTTATAAAGACTTAAGCTTTTATAAGATTCTAGCTATAAAGAAGCCTTAATAATTATAAGACTTATAAGGCCTTATAACTTATAGTTATTAAAGGCTTATTATAGTTCCTTTAAAAGGTAATATCTTAAAAGTATAATACTAGTTAATTATAATACTCTTAAAAGTAATAAAATAGTAATAAACTTATAAAAGCTTAAGCTTTTATAAGATTATAGCTATAAACAAGCCTTAATAGCTATAAAATCTATAAAGCCTTATAACTTATAATTAGAAAAGGCTTATTATAATACCTTTAAAAGGTAATATCTTAAAGATATAATACTAATAAAGAGCTTACTATAATATCTTAAAGGATAATACTCTAAAGGTATAATACTAATAAAAAGCTTATTATAATACCTATAAAGAGTAATACCTTAAAGGTATAATACTAATAGAAAGCTTACTATAGTGCCTATAAAAAGTAATACTTTAAAGGTATAATACTAATTAACTATAATACTTATTATAAGAGATAAAGGTATAATTATATATACTATAAAAGTACCCTAATTTTTCCTATTATAATAGACTTACTTTTACTTACTAAAGATAACTATAATATAAGTTATAAAGGAGTTATATATTAGCTAGATACTTTAAAATACCTTTAATACCTCCTCTTAAATACTCTAGAATACCTATATTAGCCTTATATTAAAGTATTTAATAGTTATTAAGAAGTTAGAGAAAGGTCTCTAAAGGCTCTAGCTATAAAGTATAGTAATCCCTTTATATAATTTATATATAATCTTTATATTTATTAATATTATAATTCTTCTTCCTTTTTTTTTTATATATTTAATTTACTTTTCTTATTTATAACTTATATTTAATAGACTTTCTACTTTTTTTACTTAAGTATCTTATATACCTTAATAGGTTATAAGCCTAGAGTTATAATATTAATATAAGTATAATACTACTTTAATTATACTAAATTTACTATATAATCTAAGTAAAATATTACTTAGTTATATATATATAAACTAATTAACTAATAACTAATAAACTAACTAACTTTTTAAGCTATTTTTAAGCTAATAAGTTATTTTTTAAGCTTTTTTAAGCTAATAAGCTACCTTTTAAGTTTTTTTAAACTAATAAACTATATATAAACTAACTAATATATATAGTAATATTATAATCTATAATATTAATAGTTAAATAATTATAACTATAATAATTTATTAATATTTATATAATTATAATTATATTATAATTATATTAAAATATTACTTATTAGAAAGAATATATATTAATATCTCATTTAAGTTCTATATAAGATATTTATATAGTATAATAGGAATTAATACCTATTATATAATACTATAATATAATATATTATATATTATATTATAAAGATATATATTAATACTTTAAATTATTATTATTATTATTATATTATACTAATTAGACTAGCTAGTTTATCTAGTACCTTTATAGCTTATAAGATAAGGAAAAAACTAGAGTACTTAAAGGAAAAACCCTAGTTCTAATATAGGTTTAGTATAATCCTAAAGTAATTCCTAGTAAGGAGTAGTATACTCCTTATCTTAGTAAAAGATAATAATAATAGGTATAAATATATAAAACTTAGTAAGTTAATAGACCTACCTATTCCCTACTTAACCCCCTTAACCTCCTCTCCCTATAGCCTTATCTTAGCCTAGGCTAGGTACTATATATAGTTAAGATCCCTTCTAAATCCTAATTTTTAAATACTTTAAAGTTTAGGTAGGTATAATAATAGCTATAAAAAGCTATAATACCTACCCTTATTATTCTTACTTTAACTTCTATAGTTTATTTCCTATATTATCTATATTAAATAAATAAGAACCTTACCTTTTATAAGGCCTTACTTAACCTAAGACTAGTTAAGATAGCCTTACTACTCTCCTACTTTTATATACTTTTATACCTATCTTTACTTTTTACTTTATAATTACTTTATTTATATCTTTATACCTCTTTAAAGCCTTTAGATTAATATTAGCCTTTATATAGTTTATTATATTTACTATATTAAGTAAGAAAAGAGTTATAACTATATATATTTAATTATTATTATTTTTAGCTTACTATTTAGTTAGTTAGCCTATTTACTATAATATTTAAAAAGCCTTAAATTCTTTAATTCTTACTCTTTTTTTTTCTTTCTTAATAATATATAATTATATATCTCTTTTATTTTTAGTATATATACTATACTTTACTATTACCTTTACCCCTACTTAAATTAAGCTATTCTTACTCTAGCTACTAAACTATACTAACTTTTCTTTTTACTAGTTTCTTATTATTATTACTATTATACTTATATACTCCCTTTCTTCTTATCTTTATATACCTCTCTAGACTATACCTAGGCTACCTCTAGCCTTATCTTAATATTATTAATACTTTCTAGAAAAATAAAAATTTTTTAATTATTATTACTATTACTATTATAATAAGTTACCTTATCCTTAGTATATACCTAGCCCTATCTTATCTTTAACCTTATTAGTTTAATACTATTATTATTACTATTAATAATATAAATAACTCTTATCTATTTATTATTTATCCCTATTTTAATACTAATCTAGCTAGCTACTTTCTTTACTTCCTTACTACTCTACTAAGTACCTATACTAGGTTATTACTATAAGTAAGCTAGTACTAGTTCTTTATAGCTAGTACTTTAAGTATATAAGTAATATTAATACTATTACCTACTTTAAGTAAATTAGTAAGTATTTTAATATTATACTAGAATAGCCTTTATTCTAATTTAGTTTTAAATCTTAATATATTTATATATATTAAATATATAAAAAATAATAAAGTTTATATATTAATAAGTCTTTTTAATTCTAGTCTAAAGCCTAACTAGGTTTAATTTTAATTAACTTATTAATAGCTTATTAATAATATTAAGTTTATAATTATTACTATCTAGAATTAGCTTCTAGCTTATATTAAAAATAGCCTAGCCTTAAGCCTAAATAATATTAAGTTTAATTACTTAATAATAGCTATTTATTATACTTATAACTAAGCTAATAATATAAATATTAAAAGTAATATTTATTATATTTAAAGTATAGCTAATTTAATTTAAATTATAATTATACTAGCTTTTACTAGTTATAACCTAGTCTTAATTATAACTATTTATATTAATATTAAGGTATTAATATACTTAAACTAGGCTAAGGCTAAGATAGTTTATTAGCTAGCTTAGTAATAGTATATTTTAGCTAGCCTACTCTAGGTTACTATAGCTACCTTAAAGGCCTAGGGGGTAACTATACTTAAGCCTAGGCTAGATAAAGGCCTAGACTTA